GCTGTCAGCAGAGAACCTGAGGTGGGGCTCGAACTCAAAAACTGTGAGATCATGATCTGAGTTGAAGTCGGACACTTAACCAGCTGAGTCACCTAGGTACCCCTAAACCTAAGACTTTGCAGTGGATTTGGGCACTTAAAAATAGATTTTATTAAAAAAAATTTTTTTAATAAATTTTTTAAATGTTTTTTATTGATTTCTGAGAGAGAGCGTGAGCAGGGGAGGGTCAGAGAGAGAGGGAGACACAGAATATGAAGCAGGCTCCAGGCTCTGAGCTAGCTGTCAGCACAGAGCCTAATGTGGGGCTCGAACCCACGAACTGTGAGATCACGACCTGAGCTGAAGTCGGCGACTGAGCCACCCAGGTGCCCCTATTTTTAAATTCTTAAGAGGATCGGATGGTTGCCAGGTATCATAAAGTTGGCCTAGATCTGGTACTTTCACATCACTACCCTAATGTACTTACTGCTTATAAGTGTCCCAGGGCAGGACATTCCCCTTGAGGCAGCAGCAGTGACTCGGAAAGATGTTCTCATATGTGGAACATAGAGCCTCCATTCATTCACTCTGGTGTTCCATTTGTTCTGATGCAGAACTAGCATAATTTTTCTCTGTGACTTCCCTAAAAGTATTCTAAGGTAGTACTATTAACACATTTCTCTGAAGATGAAGGCTTTTTTTCATGGCAGTGTGATGGAACTGAGACTTGTTAACTTGGAGAATAGGTGTCTTTGAATAGAGATAGACTTACACACTTTTGATAGTGTCTAAAATAAAATTCAATGGTTGGAGCACCTGGGTGGATCAGTCAGTTAAGCGTCTGACTTTTGATTTTGGCTCAGATCAAGATCTCAGCCTTCATATGTTCAAGCTCCACATTGGGTTCTGCACTGGCGGGGGAGAGCCTGTTTGGGATTCTCTCTCTCCCCCTCTCTCTCTTCCCCTCCATTACTCACACTGCCCCCTGCCCCCCAAATGAATAAACTTAAAAGTTATTTTTCAACAGTTGAATTCAGCTAAGAAAATTATGCAATTTGATTTGTTTTCAGTATAAATAACAGGCAGATGGGAATAGAGGTGCCATTTAATGAGGTACAAAAGCAGCAAGTGACGCCAGCATTTAATTAAAATGGATCTGATTTCATTATTTCTTCATTAATTCTAAGCACAATGTGAACTAGGTTACAGTAGTGATATGAGATGAATGCTTATAAAATGACTACATTAAAATATTTTTGGTTGTCAGTGAAAAAATTTATTTTTTATGTAATTCCTACCAAATGTAATGAAAGATTGGGGTGCTTTGTGGACTGCATTTGAATGAGTAATTTTGAAATCCACTAAGTTTTCTTGCTCCTGCCAAATTGTATTGGGTTTGCTAGAGTGCTGTTTTTGGCATATGCTTTCTTTGTGATCAGCGATTATGGTTTTGATCTTTAGCATTGACATACTATACTTTATAGTGGAGTTATTTTCCACAAAGAAAGATGGTGGCCATGATTTTCAAAGTTAATGGCTTGAAAGAGTTTTGCCTTTCATATGAATCTGTCTTACTACCAGTTATTAATATGCAGTGAATTTGTTTTACCTTTAATATTAAGTGCACATATTTAAGTGTGTAATATATTTTGAACTGTTTATACCTATGATATTATCACTATACTCAGGATAGTGAAAATACCTGTCCCCTCCAAAAGTTTTTTCAGCCTTCTTGTCCACCCATCTCTATTTCCAGGCAGTCACCTTAACTGCTTTCCTATCATTAGAGATTCTAGAATGCTATATGTGTGGATTCCACAATGTATACTCTTGGTGTGGCTTCTTAGCATAATTAATTTTAGATTCAGTCATTTTGATTAGTGCATAATACTTCATTATCTTTTTCTTACAAGAAGTAATACATTGAGTGGCTATACCACACTTAGTTTATCCATTCTCCTCTTGAAGGATAGTTGGGTTGTTCCCACTTCTGGGTATTAAAAATAAAGGTGCTGTTAATAGTCTTTTGTGGACATAGACTTTCATATCCTTTTTTGTTTTGTTTGGCTTGGTTTATTTTTTTAAAGTTTATTCATTTTGAGAGAGAGTGAGTGTGAGTGGGGGAGGGGCAGAGAAAGAGGAAGAATCTCAAGCAGGCTCCATGCCATCAGTGCAGAACCGGTGCTGGACGCGAACTCACTAAACTATGAAATCATGACCTGAGCCGAAATCAAGAGTCGAACACTTAGCTGACTGGGCCACCCAGGCACTTCTAGACTTTGAGGTAAATAACTATGAGTGGAATTGCTGGGTTGTTTGGTAAGTGTGTGTTTAATTTTTTAAGAAACTGCCAAACCATATTCCAAACTGGTTTTACCATTTCACATTATCATCAACGAGTTCCATTTGCTCTGTATTCTTGCTAATTATATTTTCCTAATGAATAATGATGTTAGGGCATATTGTCATGTATTTACTTGCTAGTGTATATCATTGGTGAGGAGTATGTTAAGATCATTTGTCCCTTTTTAAAACTGGGTTTTCTTAATGAGTTGAGCATTCTTGGATTCTTTCTGGATTCAAGTCCATTTTCAGATAACGTGATTTACATATATATTTTTTCACTATGAGGCTTCTCTTTCATTTTGTTAATAGTGTCTTACAGATAGCAGAAATTAGTAATTTTGATGAAGTCTTATTTATCACTTTTTTATGTGTCATGCTTTTGTGTTTTATCTAAGAAATCTTTGCCTGAGTTAAGACCACAAAACATTTCTCCTCTGTTTTTTTCATGGAATTTTATAAAAATTTTAGGTTTTCCTTTTAGGTCTGTGATAGATTTTGAGTTAATTTTTATATGCGATACAGTGTATGGATATCTAGTCTTTCTAGCTCCATTTGTTGAAAAGGCTGTTTAAAAGGCCCTACTGATCTGCCTTTGCAGGAAATCAATTGACCATATATATGTAGGTTTATTTCTGAACTGTCAGTTTTATTAATCTATTTGTTTCTCTTCAGTACTACACTTGATAGTAGTCTTGATATTTTCAGTTTTATACCAAATCTTCGAAGATTATTTTTGAATTTTTGGCCATTCTAGCTCATATGCATTTCCATGTGAATTTTTGATTCAGCTTGTCCATTTCTGTTAACACTGCTGGGATTTTGATTAGAAGTGCCTGGAATCTTTTGTTCAAATTAGAATTGGCATGTAAAGATCATTGAATCCATGAATACAATAGTGTATCTATTTTTCATCTTTGCACATCATTTGATAATTTATTCCTAATTATTTCCTGTTTTCCAGCGATACTAAATTTTCTGTTCTATAGAAACAGTTGAATTTTTAATTCTAGCCATCTGTTGCTTAATTTCCTTTTCAGATGAAGCATAGTGTCCTAGCTCATTGTCATTTTAGATCAGAAGAAATGTGTTAAGCTTACAAAATGTAATGGGTCAGTATCTTGCAAGGAGTGATACATATCATCCCCAGTATTTTGTCTTCAGTTTTTTAAAGATTTTGTTTCATTTAAAAAAAATTTTAAGTTTATTTTTTTTTGAGAGAGAGAGAGAAAGCTTAAATGTGGGAGGGGCAGGGAGAGAGAGAGAAGGAAAGAAGAGACAATCCCAAGCAGGTTCCATACTGTCAGCGTGGAATCCGATGTAGGGCTCAAACTCACAAACCATGAGATCATGACCTGAGCTGAAATCGACGCTCAACCAAATGAGCCTCCCAAGTGCACCAAAGATTTTACGTATAAGCTATCGCTATACCCAATGTGGAGTCTAACTTATACCCCCGAGATAAAGAGTTGCATGCTCTATTGATTAAGCCAGCCAGGCACCTCTATCTTCATTTTTTAAAAATGAAATACTATTTCTCATAATATGGAACCTTGAAACTTCAAACTACCATTATTTAAATAGTTGAATTTGTACGCACTTTCAGGAAAGTAATTGATTCTGAAGGAGGAATTACTTGTTTTTAGGGGATTCTAAGAGTCTGTTCAAATTATTATTTTAGAGAATCAGGTGCCTTGGTGCTGGTTTTGTGAGCATGAAGGAAAGCATGTGATAAGGACTCAGATTTGAGGCTTATGCACATGAATCACATTGCAGCTTACTGAGATGTATAAGACTGAGGAAGCAGTGAATTTGAGATATCATTTCAGCTTGGACATGGTAGATTTTAGGCCTGTTGTTTGTTGACTATATTAAGAGCTTATATGTTTATTTGAAGTTTATAAATGAAAACATTTATCTTAGGTTAAAAATAGGTCTGGGGTCCCAAACTAGTTATATGCACAATTAGAACTCATACCTAGGGCCCTCTGACTCCAAAGCCAATATTGTTGTCCCTTTTGTATTGTCAAGGCAGAAAAACACACTTGGCTTTGACAGTAATAAATGTTTCCTGTGAGCTTTATGAATATATAGCAGAGTTTGCAAAGTCACATGCCAGCAGGATCCAGACAGATAATTGAGTTGTGTTATAAGAGAGTGATGACATCTGCAGCAACTGCAAAGCCTATCTTCCATCTGAAGGATTAGCTGTTAATCAGCTGCAACAGATTGTTACCATGTGGGAATGTGGGCCCAGTATTGCTAGATCTTCTGACCTTTTTTTTTTTTTTTTACCCCCCAGGAGAGGTCAGAAATACTGATTTTTCATGTTGAGTCTTCTGATTTATAGGTGGCTGTCCTTTAACACGCTATTAGATCATCCTTATTTAGGTCCACCACAAATACGTGTTGGATTCTACCTAGTGGGCAGTCTATGGTAAGACTTGGACCTGGTATACTGTGAACACAACAATAAATATATATGATGTGAAAAGGGTGGTCACTGTAATAAGCACATTACAACCTTTGAAATGCAAGTTGCTTAATTTGAATGTGGCACTTAATGAATCTGGTATTTAAATTCAGTTTTCTTATAGATCAGTTATTTGCAGATGGTAGAGGAGGGAATTGCTCCCTATATAGCTTTTTGCCTCCTAATTGCATGCTTTCATTTGCAGATTGGGCCAGTTGTGAGTTTGTGGACATTTAACTGAAACCCATTTGGCTGAACACAAATGAGAAGAAACCTTAAAGAAACATAGAATCTGCAGTCATCTGTATGTGTAATATGGAATGTTCTCAACCTAGAGATAGGTGAATGGGTGACTCCATTGACAAGGAGTGGTAAGTTCGACTATCCCTGCTGATAATTAACTATATCCTTTCCCTAAAAAGAGAACTCTTCCTCCTCTGTTCTTAGCATTTACTCACTGTTGAATAGTAAGTTAATTTTTGTGTTACAGAGAATACAGTTGAGGAAGACAGTTTATCCCTAACAGTATATTTAACGTATGTTTGCACTTAGACTTTTTTCTTTCATTAGGCACATCCATTCCTTTCCCATTGTTTTTTTTTCTCGTTTATTTCTTTGCCTGTCAACTTATACCATCCTCCAAGGCCTGTCTTCCTTGAAACATTCAGCTCACACCAAAATGATGATTATGATAATTAACAGCATCCACTCTAATCTTGACTAATGGTAGATATCATTGCCTTTGAAAGTGATTATTTTAGGAATAGATCCGGTTTTGGCCAGTGGATCATAGAAGGGAAGTCTGTAAGAAGATGCTGGGGAAGGTTTTTTTGGTTTTGAGAAAGAAGAAAAGAGATGATCCCTCTTCTCCCTAAAGGTGTTTTTTTTTTTTTCCTGGATATAACATCTGGTACTGCTGTAGCCATATCGCTGCTAGCCTGAACGTGATGCCCTTATAGAAAGGAGGGCAGAGGCAAGAGAAGTAGCACTGGGAGCTCTGTAATATACCTAGAATTACCCTAACTTGTTACGTGAGGTAATCAGTTTCCTTTTTGCTCACTTGCTGTAGAAATCCTCTCATTTGATTTCTCCACTTTCTGATTATCCACTGTCTTTAGTGTCTCATGCATTTATTTATGCTTAAGGTTCTGGCCTGTCCAGTAATACTTGTTTGTGTACGTTGCTTTTGTAGCACATTATAAATATTGTGAAGTCAAGGGCTGTGCTTACATCGCTACTGTGTCTTACATCAGTATTATCTTCTTAATAAAGTCATCCCTGCATGTTTACTGAATTGAATTGAGTATTTGAAAAACCAGTCTACAGAATTGAGTAATTATGGAGATTGTCTTTTAATTCAAATCCTTTAACAACACTACTTCCCTGCAGGATTATAAATTAAGTTTGGCTTTTAAGATGATTGGTGTGTAATACATTTTCACGTGACTAGTTCTGTTCTAAAAAAATGTATTTTCCTTCAACTTTACTGTCAAAATCACATCTTTTCCTATATATTTGATTATTGGTTTTCAGTCTAATAAATTTTACTATCTTCTTTGTTACAAAAACAGAATGGTTTATGTTCTGTTTTTGGTACTAATTATAGGAATAAGGGACAAACATAGTAAGAAACATAGGGGCACCTGGATGGCTCAGTCGGTTAAGCATCTGACTTCAGCTCAGGTCATGATCTCGAGGTTGATGAGTTCAAGCCCTGCATCAGGCTTTATGCTGTGTGCTCTGGATCCTCTGTCTCCTTCTCTCTCTGCCTCTCCCTTGCTTGTGCTCTCTTTTTTTTCTCTCTCCCTTTCAAAAGAGAGTTTATTTTGAGAGAGAGAGACAGAGACAGAGAGAGAGAGAGCATCCCAAGCAGGTTCCCTGTTGTCAGTGAGGAGCCTGACTGGGGACCCTGTCAGACAAACTGTGATATCATGACCTGAACCAGAATCAGAAGTTGGACATTTAACTGACTGAACCACTTAGGCAGCCCCTGTATATGAAAACATTTTGACTGTTAGTTACATCCTTTTTCATCACTCATTCTAAACTGTATAGTGATAACTCAAGGGACTTAGTAAAATTATAGTTGTGAATTAGACAAGTAAGTCTCTGATAATGCAATCCATTATTAGGTGTGTAAGGTGGTGGATAAGACAGGCCATTCATTGATTGATTCCAAGAATTCAAAGATTAAATAGAAGAAGGTGGTAAATAAATACATAGTCCATGCCATTGCTAAGGAGTTTATTGTTAACTGGAATAGGCTCTCATTACCTGAATGATCCTACTAGAGTATAGTAGGATTGTTAACTGAGGATTAATGATCTCTTTAAAAAAAATTTTTTTTAGCATTTTTTCATTTTTGAGAGTGTGAGTGAGGGAGGGGCAGAGAGAGGGAGACACAGAATCTTAAGCAGGATCCAGAGTCTGAGCTGTCAGCACAGAGCTTGACATGTGGCTTGAACTTAGACACCCCTAGATCATGACTGGAGCTGAGGTCAGACGCTTAACTGACCGAGCCACCCAGGTGTCCCTAATGATCTTTTATTAACCGAGGTTAGGGTTGTGGAAGAAAAGGAGTCTCTATCATCTCTTGTAATTAGCTCTTTGGTGGAGATTTCTCCTGAACCCTTGGTACTTCTGAAGCTGGTAAAATAAACAATTGTGGGAAACCGGGAGTCTGGCAATCTTTAAAAATATGTATATAAATTATTACTAATCAGTTTTTCCTAATAAAGCATAAGGAAATATACAGATATTATTTTCTTATTTAAAGTATTTGTTTTCTTTATTCAGCATCTTGAGGCCAGATATATTTGTGGGGCTTCAGAATTCTTTGGAGTTTAGAAAGGTTATTATAGTGCATACACTGTGTACTTAATATCTTTTAACTTAAGGGTCAAGTTGGTTTTTGTCATTAAAAATACAAATAATAAGGGCACCTGGGTGGCTGAGTTGGTGGCTCATTTGGTTAAGCATCTGACTTTGGCTCAGGTTATGATCTCTCAGTTAATGGGTTTGAGATCCGTGTCAGGCTCTATGCTGACAGTGTGGAGCCTGGAGCCTGCTTCAGTTTCTGTGTCTCTCTCTCTCTCTCTCTAACCCTCTCACCCTATACTCACTCACTCTCTCTCAAAAATAAATAAGCATTAAAAATCTTTAAAGAAAAAATAACAAATAATAATGCTTTACATGAGTAATTAAATGCCAAGTTCTGTACACTTTTCAACGTTATCTTAATTGTTGTGAACAAAGTTTTTTTCTAATAGCAATAAAGCATGAAGAACATCCATTTTCTTTCTTCTCTTTTTTTTTCTTCTCTCTTCTCTTCGCTTCGCTTCGCTTCTCCTCTTCTCAAGGCTCTACACCGAGTGTGGGGTTTGAACTCACAACCCTTATAGATCAAGAGTCATATACTCTACTGACTGTCTGTTCATACTATCAGAACATAACTTGATGCACATTTTAAAAATCCTCTTTAATTTCGTATCACCTACACATCCCCCATCTCTTTTCACTCATTTCTTAAACCTCTCATCGCATCGCCCACATGTTTACCAGACTACAGAATCTATAAGTAATTAGATCTGACACCTAAATAGAGCTTAGAAAGTCAAAGTCCTCTCTCCTAAAGGTTTCCTCACTTCACTGATAAGTCTTCAAAAAAAGAAAAAAAAAAGCTCTTCTTCAGGCCTTCCATTTCACTTTCACATTGCATCAGCAAATCAGCAAGATAGATTTTTCTTTTCAATTTAAACAAGATTAGAAAGAATTCTGCTGAGCATCTTGATGCCCTACACACCAGTCTGGGGACCCTGAGTACTGGTCTGCTCTTAAGAAGGTCTTTTAGTGGAATAAAAGTCTATATAATTTGTGGTTGATTTCAGTCCATACTGTGTTGAATAATCAGTAAATTAGCTGGAAAGTGAACCAAGTCATCAAAATAAGGATCTCCTCAGAGAACAAATGCAGTCTGTATATGTTAGAATTCTTTCTGTTGGAATCATCCTTTTTTTTTTTTTTTTAAGTTTATTTACGTAATCTCTACATTCCATGTGGGGCTTGAACCCATAACCCTAAGATCAAGAGTTACGCACTCTCATAACTGAGCCAGCTAGGCATTTCTCTGTTGAAATCATTTTGACTATAATACAGCTGTTTATGCCGTAGTTGTCTATTTTGTTTTCTTGCTAGGGAGGAATAGGAACTGATGTAAATTGATGAAGATTTGCTGTTCCTTTTTGTTTCCTTTTGGCTCTTGTAATGCTGCATAGGTGGCTGGATCCTACTGTATTTAGAGTGAGGGTCTCTGATTCTTACCAGTACTGGTGAGGAGGAAGTGCTGTGAATGGACTGACTGATGCATGGTGACATCTGTTGTTCAGTGGTAGACAAGAAAGGATGTGAATTGGTCTCCAATGTATAATAAAGGTGTACTAAAATGGTTTTGATTGCATCCAACCTTTTCGTGAATGCTTTGGAGGTACTGACATTGCTATACTGTCTCAAGAGCTGGGCTGCTGCCTTTACCACTTTCAGAGATGTTCTATCTCTGTACCTTTGGTTGTGTTTACTAGCTTTTCTGTGTCTGCTGAGTCCGCATGGACTTTGTTGTTCTCCATGTTTTTGCTAGTGACCTTGTGCAGAGGTTCTTTTTTTTTTTTTTTTTTCCTGTCTGTATGTCTTTCCACTTTGTTAGTGTAGTAGTAATTGATGCCTACAGCCTTTTAAAGTGCCCCATACACAGAACTGCATCATGAAGGGCCTTGAATGGAGACAGAATCAGTCCAGTTGCAGTATGTGTAGAGTCCTGTGTGTGCCTGCATCTCCAGGTTACCTCTGAGCGAGCTGGATCCAGGCTGGAGGGACCTGGTAAAGCAGATGGTGTCCATGAGCTCATCAACAGCACATTGGGACCAGGGCTTCTGGGAAGACAGTTGGTTAGGTATCCTGGTATATTTGCCTGTGAGCTTCTTGTTCTGAACATCTTATACCATATTCCTCAAAGCAGTTGCTTTACATGGAGTAGCTCTATCATTATCTGCTGTCAGAAGTTCTACAAGAGTGCGTAGCCCTTTTTCTTTTTGAATGGCCACCAGGATGTATGCTGCGAACATCTAGTTTCGAGAAGACTGGTTCTGGAGAGTTCTAGCAAAGCTTACCAAGTTGGCTGAGTTGGAACTTTATGGTGGAAGAATCAGCTATGGTTTTACCACTGATGAATGCCATGGCATCTCATCCCCCTTTGGAGGACTTTGACAATCTTGGGATATGACCAACTCAATCCTATTGATCTTCTTGTGGACTTTTCTTTTTCTTCTCCCCCTGTTAGCCTGGCTCCAAGTCCTTGCTGGGAGACTCTTCCTAGTAA